TATTTTGAAGTATTATCTTTATTACAGTATTGTACTATTATTAGTTTACCCACAAATTTCCTGGTATCTTCCATGCCCTCCCCTGATATTGGGGCCAAGAATGTGGGGGTCTGGGAGTTTACAAAGCATAATTCCTACATATGCATGTCCTAGAGGGTGAGAGGAATTCATCGATAAAATCATCACAATCTGTTATACAATAGTATTGTGAAAAATGACCATATATTGACTCCATATGCATTCAATCTTAATTGTCAAGCACAAAAGCTGTACCAAAAGAGATGTGCATATGTGTAGGACTGTACCAAATGCCAGCATGGCCTCTAGATTTTACACTCAGGCAAAGGCCAACAAAATTTAAGCAAGCATAACAAGGCTGACTGACTGCTTACTTGGCAGTAATCTGCCAGGAAAACCTAAATCTGCCATGCCAGAATATACCTATAGGAAATTGCTTATTTTTGCCAGAACTTGTAGCACGAAGGCAGCACCGCTGGTCTTGCATTTCTGACCAATGTTTTGCATCCTTGCCTATGCTTCACGCAGTTTGATTTTTTCAATACTAATCCTTTTTGTTTCCTTAACTAGACAGCAATTCCTATAGTTTCCCTTAATTCGTGCTGTCCTTCCGTGAATATCCTACAAGAAGGATCAAAATGGAAACGAAATGACAGATAAACACAGCTCGATAGGCCTACAGAAAGCTAGGCCTACAAATGCCTACACGATTCCTTCTTCACCAATCGAATTCCAAATAAATCACCAAGAGACCAACCATTCGCCTTTGCCCTGCACACACTGAACAACAACTAAACTAAATATAAGGAGATTCTCCTTCCGAAAATAGGGAGAAATAATGCCCCTACATAAAAAAAAAATCTAAAAAATCTTGGGACGCAAAGAGCCTCCTCACTCCTCCCCGCCACTTTGAGCTAAACGGCGGCTCATTTATTTCCCCAAAGAACTCACGCCTTGCTGTGGGGTCCATGGTCGGCATTCACGCCCTCGGATCTGTCTGGTGCGGCCGCCATCACTGAAAATCCCAGGGCGAAGGAGAACGAGTGACGGTCACGGTGCGCCGCGCAGGGGGCAGGGGGGGAGGGGGAGGGTGGGGATTTACACCGGGTCCTTCGGGCTTTGGTTGTGGGGAATCTTTAGGTTTTGGGGGATCTTTAGGGATCTTTAGGGGTTGGGGAATCTTTAGGTGTTAGGGGATCTTTGGGGGTTGGGGAGTCTTTAGGGGCTGGGGGATCTTTAGGGATCTATAGGGGTTGGGGAATCTTTAGGTGTTAGGGGATCTTAAGGGGTTGGGGAATCTTTAGGGGCTGGGGGATCTTTAGGGATTGGGGAATCTTTAGGGGCTGGAGGATCTTTAGGGGTTGGGGTGATCTTTAGGTGTTGGGGAATCTTTAGGGATCTTTAGGGGTTGGGGAAACTTTAGGGGCTGGGGTACCTTTATGGATTGTGGGATCTCTATGGATTGGGGGATATTTAGGGATCTTTAGGGGTTGGGGGATCCTGAAGGTTCTTTAGGAGTTGGGGGAACTTTAGGGATCTTTAGGGGTTGTGGAGGAAGGGTCAAGGGACTGGGAGTTTCTTTGTGATGCTTGGGAAGGGAAAGTTTGCTAGATGAAGGCTGAGGATTTATAGGGATGGGGCGGTGGGGGGGAGTTACATCGGAATTTTAGACTGGATTTACTTTGAAGTTTTGGGGCTAAAACTTTGGGGCTGAGGTTATATATGGGATATATATATATATATATATATATATATATATATATATATATATATATATATATATATATATATATTATACACACACACACACACACACACACACACACACACACACACACACACACACACACACTATATATATATATATATATATATATATATATATATATATATATATATATATATATATATTGGTTCTGGGCATTACCAGGGTATTTGGGGGACTGGGGGATTTAGGACTGGGTTGGGGAATTATAGGGAAATCATATGGTAGTGGTGAATAAGCGCTTTATATATTTCTATTTCTGTTCCATTGGCAGGGATTTGTATGGTTTTGTGGCGGCTTTATGGAGGCATTAAAGTCTGTATGATTATCTTTTTTTGGTTTATTGGTATTTTTTCTTATAATATTGAATTAATGTTTATCTATTTATTTATTTTTCGTGGGATTTCTTTCTATTTCTACCTTTATCTCATTTATTTTTGTTTATTGTTGTTGTTATTTATTGCATTCATGCAATTGACTTTATATTGTAAGGATATAAATTTCAGGCATCTCTGTCTTGTCTCGTGAATACAATTATTTTCACGAGTTGTTTAAAGTTTAGAACTGTGCAGTTCCCTATCCCGTGATGTCTACTCCAGTGTGCATTTCTAATAACCCATCATTGATTTTCCACACTTCTGATTCATGCGTTGAATTTGAAAGCTCGTACTTATCAAAGTTTCGTTCGAAGCAAGTGGCTTAGGTAAATTAGTTTTAGGTAAATTACTTTCCACAGCGATATTCACATCACTGTGATGTGGCATGGCCTTCTACCTTTCATTTCTTGATCTTTTCTGTTTTCTAATATTCTTATTTAACCCGTGTATCATGATTACCTTTTCCGGCAATAAATTACCTTTTTATAACATAGAACATCACATTAGATTCACTTTCATTTATTCAAAGACATTCATCTTTGTTTTCTCTATTTTTTTCGTATGAATCTCCACACTTCCAATCCAGTTAAGTTTGCAAAACAAAGTTTGATGAATGGCATCCTCTGCTGTACTCCTATCATCGGTAAAGAAAATCATTCTGATATTCTTTTTCAAGGATGTTTTCCATGACTTCAATATAATGTAATATTAACAGCATTGTCTTTTTACAGGGTAAGGTACAATATTTTTTCTACAGAATCAAAAGTCTGTTAGTTCATGTTTTGGTTCATAACTTAACTAATTTAAACAGGTAACTAAGGGAATTCTTTGGGTCCCATTTTGCCGAAGCACTATCCTTTCGGGACCGCGGACATATTTACGAAAGGTTGAAATCTGTTCCTAGACGGGTATTTCTGTGAAGGCCGACTCCTCCAGTGGACTACCCTCTACAGCCTTCCTTATGCTTTACCCTGCCGCTGTCTCACATAGAGTGTCCAAATTCAGTCTTAAAAATCAAAATCTTGTGAGAATATCAAAATTAGTTACTTAGGATAGGACATATCTATTGCAAAATATGCCATTCCTTTCCGTCAAATTATTTCTCATTCATTCTGCCAGTATAACAGGAACACATCACCAAGATCATGACTAACTTATGTGTATTGGGTCATCCGTTTCATTTAACACATATATTTTTCAAATGTGTAGGCGAGGATGAGCGCGGTTCCGCTGACCATTCTTTCTACTTCGAGTTCCTTTGATGAAAGCCGTTGACACTGAGGACAATCGTCAGAGACTCCAGCAAAATAGTCCCTTCTTCCTTAGGCCTGGAAAAAAAATCATCATATTACAGCAGTCAGCCAGCACTTCTTTCTGAGATCATTAGAGATCAAAGTAGATTTGTTGATTTTCATTGAAAGTTCTATCCCGTGGATTCAGCTTTCTGCACCTCTTCGACTGTTAATCCGCTACATCATCATAGCTGTACCAAGATCCATGTGCATTTAGATTTAACGTCTAACTTCGCAATTTGGGCTGTGTCCTGCTCATTTACTCCCTTTTCTTTTTAAAAGAAAATATCCATAACTCACAAGCCACACATTTCTGCAAATTCAATTAATAAATCACTAAATTTACTATTAACAGTGCCAAACATTCCCACGCCTAGTATTCTAGTCAAATTATTTTCATCATCGCACGGCCCCATCTCCCCTTCATTTCCTTCAGAAACAGACGCATTAACCTGAATTATTTTGTGGCTTAAAGACTCCGCTACTGCGGAAGCCGCTTGATTTCATTATCAAAAAGGAATTATGTTTCACTGTCCTTCCATGGCGACTTCCTGTATGCTGTGTAAGTAGTAAGAGAAGAAAGTTCAATGATTTTTTTTTCTTTACAATTGTTAGTCACCCCGTGATGTAAATGCATTTGGCAGAACTGTCAGTTTGTGTTCCTCAGGCGGAAGGGCAACGTTAGAACAGCCAAAGGGGCGCCATTAAAAGGGCGCAAGGGGCACCATTGGAAGGGCCAAAGGAGCACCTCTGGAAGGGAGCGCCATCGTAAGGGCCAAAGAGAGACATTAAAAGGCCAAGGAGCACCTTTGCAAGGGCCTAAGAGGCAACACCGAAAGGGCTGAGGAGCACCATTTAAACTGGCCAAGGTCGAAAATATATAATTTGGAAGAGCGGAGACAACACCACTGGAATGGTCTAAAAGGAGCAGTTTCTTATACAGATCGTAATTGCTTAGTTAAATAATATGGAACAGTTACTGTTTCACTTCATAGTACGTCGCTCTGGTGATATTTCTCTTTTGTATATTCATTTTGCTTAGTTCTCGCCAGGGCCGGATTATGACCTCAGAATATTTTTTACTCGTGATATATTTTAGCGACATTTACATAGCTTGAAGTAAACTTATTGCAAATTCTTTAAATAAACTAGCATAGTTATCTTTTGTTTGTCAATAAAAATATTCTTTAAATACCACTATTTTACTATATTTCAACACAACCGTAGTGAAAAAAAACAGATTTTTTATAACAAAGCCCCTCAAGCTTGGGGCTTCCAAGCTTGAGGGGCCCGGGGCTGCAGCCTTTACTAGCCTATAGGATAATCCGGCCCTGGTTCTCGCCCAAGAAAGTATCACACGGACCTGAAATAAATACACGTGGTGGAAAGGGTAACACTTTAATATGATAACTCGTTGGTTTACGCATAACTCTGTCATCTTTACTCCTTTCTTTCATTGGTGTCCGCGTTGACTAGCTGCTCTATTTAAATTCTCCTTGATAGTTTCATATAATTTATATGTTGCAGCAACTCTCTCATCAACATTATTCTCTGATGACAAATAGTTTAACGCGGCATTAGGAATTATGGGATCTGTTCCATAGACTGCATAATAGGGCGCATCATCTAGAGTTATGACAAGCGCTGTTAAGAGCCAACTGCACTGTCTTCAAATGGTGGTCCCAATCTGTTGGCAACAGTTCATCAATAATACTGCGAAGAATTGAGATTAACTGCTTAATATGGTTTTCTACTAGCCAGTTACTTACAGGATGGTAGATAGTAACCATTCAATAGGAGAAACCCCAAATTTCTGCTGATCTCTTCAGGACTTTATTCCTGAATTCTGACCCCTGATCGCTAATAATTATTTCTGGTGGTCCCCATTGACATATTACATTGTCCCATATGGCTCTACCAACTTCGAAAGCGTCTTTGTTCAGCAATACAGCAACAATAGTGTTGCAAGAAAGATAATCTACGCACGTCAAGACATACTTGTTGCCCCATTCAGTTAGCGGTAATGGTCCAACAAGGCCAACAGGGCACGAGAGAGAGAGAGAGAGAGAGAGAGAGAGAGAGAGAGAGAGAGAGAGAGAGAGAGAGAGAGAGAGAGAGAGAGAGAGAGAGAGAGAGAGAGAGAGAGAGAGAGAGAGAGAATGTGTTTCTACAGTATATATGTCTATCTTCTAATCTGTCGTATCTACCCACTTACAGAACATGCGTTACGTCAGTTTAAGAGAGATCTATAAGACATGGGGTGACCCTAAGCCCAGCTCTTCTAGCCCGGACCTCCCGTCCCTAAGATATGCATAGCAACTTTAAGCTGTGACAATCGGTTAATGGCACACGTCTGCCTCCTCGTGCTTTCATCTTTCTGTTGCTTGACTCTATGACGCTTATCTGAGATCGTGGCCAGCATTGAACTGGTATTTGGAATTGATATAGAGATTGCACGCGCGCGTAACGGGAGTGCAATCGTGTGTGTGTGTGTGTGCGTGTGTGTGTGTGTGTGTGTGTGTGTGTGTGTGTGTGTGTGTGTGTGTGTGTGTGTGTGTGTGTGTGTGTGTGTGTGTGTGTGTGTGTGTGTGTGTGTGTGTGTGTGTGTGTGTGTTTGTGTGTATGCGTGCGTGTGCTTTCATAAGGATTTAGTGTCTGTGCCTTTATAGACATTACACATATCTGTATTTTTTGTAGGGGCTAGCACTCCTCTTTTAATTAATTGACTTTCATCCATTGCATGCATGTGAGCCGTAGTCTGCCGATGTACTGGAATTTGTTATCGATTGAAATATACTATAACAACCGTTACTATATATACATTGTGTACTTCATGTATTTAGTATTTTTCTTTCAAAGCTAGTCGGAAAATAACAAAATAGATAGAAATGTTTTTAATTTGAGTGAAGTATCTCTGACTTTTTTTTCTCGTCAATGAACGCGGAACATTTGTAAACATCGCTCAAAACGTGGATGCGAGGTGAAAATGACGATTTATTTTCTTGTTGTTTGGTATTATAGGTTTCAGTCATTACTTTTCAACTGTTATATTCTCATGAAACCGTTATAATGTTTATAATACACATTATCTATTCATGGTAGTTTTAGTCTGCTGTAATCAGTTTCAATAACAATTTTAGTCCAGAAACTGGAGAGGGAACGAAGTATATCAGATAAATATCAGATAAATTTTTAATAGTGAAGAAGTGCGCTGATGAATACGATGGTTTACACAACTAATACTCATTAACAGATCGGCAGAATCATAGGATGTAGCTTCAGTTTTGGACAACCATCATCCACAAGGAAAACAGCAAAAGAACCGGGAGTCTGACTCGAACATACTTTCAATGAATGACGTTGCCGTTCCCATCTGTTCAAAAGAAAGTTATTTGATATTACTACATAATATTGATATTATCAGTGTCGACCAGTTGCCATGACCTCCATGCACTGCATTTTGACAAAGACCAATAAAGATTACAATAAGCATCCTTAATCTGTAGAGACAGCTGGTTTTAGTTCTTTATTTGATAATTCGGTATAGGTCCAGTTCCATCCAGCCGTCTTTTATATAGAAAATAATATATGCAAACGATAGAGCAAATAAATCTAAGAAACTTATCTTCTATGAACTTCCATCGCAAATCAGAAATAATGAAGTTATTGGACACGCAAGTGACACAGAGCTCGCTAATTCAAGGAATGTGGAAATCAGGATCGGTCACTAGTGCATACTGATAGACTCCTTGCTGCCGAGCATGCATGGAGCCATCTGTATGTTACAAAACTCACTAAAATGTAAAGGAGACAGTATATAAACCCACTGACATTGGGTTAATCATCCTGGCAATTTTTTGGCAAATCAAAAACTCCCAAATATAAATGAGCGGAGATTTGCTAGTTCTTGTTATAATCTAACACTTAGAGATCACAACATTGCTTTCTGCAGTCCCATTCTAACAGTTACCAAGCTAATTTTTTTCATAAATGTCATATCAATTACAAATTACCCATTTTTTAAAAGTTTTTTTTGTAATCTGTGTACAATTGGCTGATCACAACAAACCACTGATTTCTTGAACTTCCCTCTCTTTGTCATATTGGTTAGGAACTCTCAACAAAACCATGTTTTATATTCAAAAGGCAGCCTTGAATAAATTATCTTTGACTTAACATATGACCTAGTCCAAATGACTTATATAGCAGGAGGATGAGGGAGCTTGGGCCCTCATCCCTACCTCACAGGGAATCATTGATATGACTTACCAATGTTTAACAGAACTTGTCTTGTTCATGTAAATGGATTTGATGAGTTGAAGCTTATAAAGAAGTGTTCTCACATTTACACTTGACAGGGAACTGGTCTAACCATGCAGGACGGTGACGTAGCAGATACAAGTAAAGCCTCAGACCTCAGTGAAGCAAGTATGGGGACAATTGACCCCCTACCTCTCACTGAGGACTCGCAAGAATATTTTAAGAGTTATGAAGATGTGGAGGTAAGAGTTTAGTGTTTGTAGAGGATGGAGTGAGATAATTTATGAATACTCTTAAATATTTTGGTGTCACTGTATTTATCAGTATCATGAAAAATGAAAGTTTATGGGATGGCATGTGTACATGTCCATTGTTTTAGTTTATTGTTTTTGTTTACATGCAGAGAGATCCACAAGTACTTATCACCAGGGAGTCATTTAGTAGGCCTACCTGATCTCACCTTTTTATCCTATACCTTTAATATTCTAAGGAATAATATTAGATAATAACAATAATGGTATTATAAGTAAGAATAAGAAAATCAAAGAATGGGGTAAACAGGTGGGGGCATGTATGCCAGATAACTGACTCCTAGGTGATAAGCACAATTAAATAAACCACAGTGGACATTTCATGTACCTGACACCAAGATTTCACTGAAAAGGAACACGTAGCAAAAGTATAATTGAAATTATGTTTAAACTGTATGATCAGTTGTTTTGAGCAATGCTTTGCATAATTTTTTTTTCATTTTCTTCAGATTCATAGACTTATGGTTAGCGACAAACCACGTACAACAGCGTATTTTGATGCAATCACCAGAAACAAACATTTATTCAAAGATAAGATTGCTATGGATGTTGGAGCAGGCACAGGCAAGTGTTATTTACAAAAAAAAATATATATGAATACTGTATTTATGTCAAAACTAGTAAATGTAGGGTAAGAATTAGTCAAGGAGTAAAAAGGATAGACGTAAACAAAAGTAGACATGAGACAAGCATGTTATTTAAAACTGTTTAGGAAATAACTAATGTAATTTTTCATTTCAGGGATTTTGTCTTTGTTTATGGCATCTGCTGGAGCAAAAAAAGTGTATGCTGTAGAAGCAAGTGGCATGGCAGAAGTTATTCAAAAAGTTGCAGAGGATAATGGCTTTGGTGATGTTATTCAAGTGTTCCATTCAAGAGTGGAAGACATATCTCTTCCAGAAGATGAGAAAGTTGATATAATTGTGTCTGAATGGATGGGATTTTACTTGTTACATGAATCCATGCTTAATTCTGTTATAAAGGCCCGAGATATGTTCCTTTCAGATGAAGGCACAGTATTTCCTTCAGAAGCTAGAATATTTGCATGTCCATGTTCATTACAATCTCTTTATAAAGAACAGATAAATTATTGGGATAATGTCTATGGATTCAACATGTCTGCTGTCAAACAGTTTGCTCTCAGATCCAAAATGATAAAACCTGAAGTCTGCCTTATTCCTGAATCAGACCTGTTGGCTGAACCAACATGTATTAAGAAATTCAACCTGAGATGGGTAACAGAAGAAGAGGTAAAGCTGTTTTCTGAAACTACCTTTGTTGGCATCACAAAGTCTGGTTCTTACCAGGGTCTCTGTCTGTGGTTTGAATGTGACTTTGAGGGATACTGGTACAGTGAGGAAGGGGAAGAACAGGGAACACTAATCACACTCTCAACTTCACCCATGACCCCCCCAACACACTGGAAACAGACTGTTGTTGTCCTGGGATATGGCTCAGCAAAATCATGCCAAGAAATTGAGTTAAGCTGTCAAGATGGTGCACTTGAAGCCAGTGATGATGATGTTGAAAAAAGCGCTACTGAAAAGCTGGAAAATCATGAACCACAACAAAGTGATCAAGTAGAAACCAAGAATTACAACAAAGATGATAGTAAAGAAGATAAAAGAGAAGTACAAGACACTGTAGTCTCAACCACACAGCTAGAGTTTGAGAATTTGGTAGAGAAAGATGAAGTGGTGGGTTGGAAGATAGTGTTTGCCCAAAGTGATGATAATGTCCGGCACTACACAATGACAGTGGAGATGCTTGACCCTGAAATAGAAGAACACCCTGTCCCCTGTTTGTGCCCCATGCCCAGATGTGTTATAATTGCAAAGATGATTGAAAATGACGAAATGGGTGAGGAGGATAGTAATGTTATAGACTGCACGTAACCCAGGTTAAGCTATGTGTGTTGGTGTTTATACATGATTGTGCAATGTATATCAAAAGTCATCATTAAACCTATGAATGTTATTTAGCCTATTTTTTGTGAACATTTTGTTATACAGCATAAAATGCTTGCTAAAAAAAAACTTCCAGAAATCACAATTTTGGCAATAAAATAAAAGAAATACAACTACTTTACATTTCTTAATACATAAAATATCTACTCATCAATCTGATAAAGTATTACAAACAACATTTCCCTTATTTTTAGGCATAACTCAGTATAAATGGACAATAAACATGACTTTCAATTCCAGATCTAGCTAATTTTTCATTTTTTTAGTAACTTAATAGAGCATGTGTAACAGTAAAGAAGTAAGGTACCAACCAGCCATTTCAACTCTTGCCCGTCATTTGGAGGGCAGAGGTGACCTAGGTCTCTTATGTATATGTATATATATACACACACCTATACACATATACACATATATACATATATACATATATACATATACATATACATATACATATACATATATGCATATATGCATATATACATATATACATATATAATATATACATATATAATATATACATATATATATACATATATATATACATATATATCAATAAGAAGCTGAGAAAAGAAAGACAAATATGCAAACCATGTTGAACATAATACAGTATTACATTAGGGATAATGTATCATGGACACCAATAACAAACTGCCTGAATATAATATTTACAAGTTAGAGACAGAACAATGCTGAGTACCAGCTGACCACAAAAATACCAGAATAAGGAAACAATATCTATACTCAGTTTATTTTGGTCTATTTAAATCTGCCAGTGGCTTTGGTCAAAATCACATATCTTTAGATTGTAATCTCGATATACATTTCAGTGGTGTGATGTTAGTACAATACTAAAGGCCATGAAAAGCTCCACAAACTGAACCTTTTAATTAAACTTTCTTGTCAGGAAATTGCTTATTTACACACCTGCATTGCTATTTCTTCCATTAAAGCAAAAGGGTAAGGAAGTCTTTTGGTTCATTAGGTAATGCTTGTGGATTCCCAGAATGGTTATTGGTTAAAACTAATAAATGTGCTAGACATCAAAGGTCATATATCAGTATTACAAAGCACTGTGGCAAATAGAGTAAAATTGAGTTAATGACCAGGATAAAATGTGACAGTATGGTAGTGCAATGAATAAAGAGGCATGAGCAAATGGAACATGGTGGGGAAGGGGTTAAGGGTATATTATGATTAAAATGGAGAGTGTCTGAGGAAGGAAGAGTGACACTGAATGGGGAAAACTGCAATGGAGCCATTATGAAACAATCAGCAGGTAATATGGATAGAAATGGTAGTTGGAGAAGCAGAAGAATCTAGAGAATGAGATAAGGGAACAGGGGAAGTTGGTGAAGTATCAGGAAGAATATCGGGTGAGGAGGGATCTGGAGAAGGACATTGTTATGACATAATGGAGACATGTGAGCATCTAGGTAGGAGTGGTAAGAATAATTGGGAAGGAGGAGTGAATGGTGGTGCACATGGAGGAGAGGATGAGTTGTTTTGGATGAGAGTGGGAGGAAGAGAGGTAGGGGGAACTTGAGGAGGAGGATGTAGAGCGAAGGATTGGAGAGTGGATGAGGGAGCGGAGAGTTCTCTTGGATCATATTTAGGAAGTTTTGAATGTCTTCAAGAGTTTCTAGAAAGGAGTTGGGTGGGGAGGTCTGAGAAATAAAGGTTTTCTTGTGAGGAAGAGGAGGGGATAGATGTCTGAGGGTGTAGGACAAGGCATGGCAGAAGATGAGATGGAATGTTTAGATTGCCTAGTGTGACAGGTAGAGTGAAAAAGAGGAGGGGTAAGCATTGGGGAAGTGGTAGAGATATCTAGATTATCTGGATTTAGACTGGAAAAGGAATTTGACCAGGGGAGAGAGGGAGCAGACATAGGATTGTTTGGGGTAGAGGGAAGAGATTCTGGGGGAGATGCTGAGACATCTTGAGAAGATGGGAAAAGAGCAGAGTAAAGGACAGTTTTGGAATGGATAGAAAGAGAGAAACCTTGTCTGCATGCTTCCAGTTTAACCTCACAGAGTGAGGCCTAGTTTGCATCTGAGAACTGCTACCTCAGATTTGACTTTATAGGCAGGGCAGCTCCATTAAAATACAAAATAGGAGCCATCACAATTGGCATGTGTGTGACTGAACAGAGCAATATGAATGGTTATGACCAGGTTGGGTACATAGTGGACAGCAGGCTGTGGAACAACAGCATTTGGCTGGGTGGCCAAAATGCCAACATTTCTGACATAGATGGGGAAGAGGTCGATATGGTTGGATAGGGAAGGACACTCCATCAATATAAACTTCATGGGGGAGGTCATGTCTACTGAAGCTAATCTTGACAGTATTGGTGTAGCACTGGCCTCTGGGAGGAATAATAATATATAATAAATGACGTATAATGATAATAATATATAATGATAATAATTTAGTTTTATTCTATTTATTATGATGGTTATTCTTGATGTGACAGGCTGTATCTAAATTACCCTGTGTGCAAGAAATGGCCAGGGTTACCATCCACTGGCAGTGTGGGCTTTGAACACAGGTCAGGGAGATTGCTGGATGAGAACACTACCTCTGCACTTGCATCATAGTCAAAGTGACAGGCAAGCAGGTCATTTTCACATTCTGACCAGTCCTTGTTGTGGACAGGACAATTAATTGGGGAGATGGAAACAGTTCGGTCCAAGTATTAAAGGAGTGAGGTTGGGCAGGAATAGGTTTGCCAGTGAGGTCAGTCAGGGTAGGTAGTGCACAAACTTGGGATATAGATGTAACTGTGGCAAGGTGTGAACGATCAGAATGACTGCAAAAAGAAACGTTGCCTACTTGTTTTTGGAGACATTGTTGGTAAAGGAGGGTATTGTCTGAGTAAGGGTTTGTAGGGGGAATCACAATGAATCAATCCCATTTGGCTGGGCTAAAAAGAGTACTCAAAAGGTTTGCAGAGGTGGAAGCAGTAGAAAGGTGAGGGTGGGAGGAAGATGGGGTGGTGTGGATTGAGGTAGGACTGTGAAGAGGAGGACAATATGGATGAAGACTAGTAATAAGGGGGGAGGGGGTAGACAGTGACAATGACTGTGAAGTAGCAGATGGAGTGGAGGTTGTTGGCAGCAAGGAAGGGGTGTATTCTGTAGGTTGAGTAATGAAAAAATTGGATGATTCGAAATGGACAGAGCTGACAGCAACCATCGATGAGGGATATTTGTATCAGTGGAGCATTGGTCAAAGGAGTGGCAGGCAGGGCTGGATTATGACCTTTTGGGGCCCCTAGGCTAATGAAATTATGGGACCCCCTCCAAATATTTTTTACTCGTGATATATTTTAGCAACATTTACATAGCTTGAAGTAAACTTATTGCAAAGTCTTTAAATAAACTAGCATAGCTATCTTTTGTTTGTCAATAAAAATGTTCTTTGAATACCACTATTTTTCTATATTTCAACACAACTGTAGTGAAAAAACCCAGATTTTTTATAACCATGCCCCTCAAGCTTGAGGGGCCTGGGTTGCAGCCTGTACTAGCCTCTAGGATAATCTGGCTCTGGTGGCAGGGGTTGGGAAACCAGAGAAATCAAATTTGGACAGGCTGCTCGATAAAGGACTGAGCCTTAATGTCCCTAATAAGGGTAAACAATCTTCATTATTGGCTATGGTGAGCCTGGAATAACTCAGGTTCCCCATAAAGGGTTAGGGCTAAGCAATTAACCAAGGGAATATATGCCCATGGCTCCTGGAGGGTGTTCAGGACTGACACAAAGCCAGCCTTTCAGCATGAAAAAAAAGACCATGTAAAATTAGTTGTGGTAAGGGCTTAGTCCAAGGTAAGGATGATCACTTACATTGGACTTCAGTCTCCGTCTCCTAAGCCCCCAAAAAAACAAGCTAGGGATTTAGGGAGGCTTGGTGACAGGAATGTGCATTTATGAAAAATTTGGCTGAGGGCTCAGGTGATAGGAATGGCTTGTCATGACTGACCAAAGCTCTTGGAGGAAGATTAGATTCAGTGGACGTTTTGGAAGGGACTCTTGCATTGTTTCCACTAGTAAGTGGAGGTAAAATTTACCATCTGTCAGTCATGGCTGACAGAGCACCATCTCCAGGGAGGATTATTTATTAATTGAAAATTTTCTGCCTCATCAGCATCTATGGCCATAGTGATAGCGTGAGGCTTGGGGGCAAAGCCCCCAGGTAAGGAAGTGCTATATGACAATAAATATCATATGGCACTATGGTAAAGTAGAGAAGTGAAAAGGGTTAGGAATGAGTTAATGATTAACGTAAAGTTACAGGTTGAACAGTATTAGAGTGTAGTATAGTAGTGAAGAGGGCTGAGAGGGGAGCTGATGGGGTAGAGTATAAGGTAAAGGTTGTTAGAAGGGGAAGGAGTCAAGATAGTAGAGAGCATTATGAGAAAGTGTTGTAGCGAAAACAGCACTTCTTCCATGCTTAGGATCCTATTCCTGTCTGCCATGACAGGCGGTGCAGGGTGTACTACAGAATACTGAATCTAAAAATATAAAAATGACACAAGTAATATGGTCAATCACAAATGTAGACCTTATGAAATGGCAAAAACAAATAATATTCACATTGGATAAGGGAGGCAAGGAGTCTTGATATTGCACATGAATGTGTGTGGGCTGGCCTGCAAGCCACACATTCAGAAGAGTCACCACTCAGGAAAGCCTAAAGACCCAGTTTTGGTTCATGTATGGGCCGTGAAGCACCTGGATCCAACAGGTTCATTGCTTTGTAACCACTGTCTATCATGCTGCTCATAAAAGGAAGTGTGTGTTGGAAGTAATAATATGAAAACATACACTTGTACTTCTCACATAAACACAAGAAGAATATATATATATATTTTTTCAAAAGTGGTTATTTGTAGTATAATGTACATACAGATATTCACTCTTAGTGTTGCTATTCTTAGTAAGGGAAAATAAAAAAAATTTTATTTTGTTTTTCTTTATGAATTCAACACAGTAACCCTAACAGTAACA